TCTTGACTGCAAAGCTGGCAGAGCACTGCATTATTACACTGTTCAAGCGATAGAGGAGGAAGGAAAAAAAAAAGGATGGTGTGTGTATGTGTGTGAGGAGGCTTGACCTTAGAGAATAGGAGAGGGTGATGTCAGCTGTCAGCTCTCACAAAGGAGATGGATGTGGGGGAAGTATTGTCATCCACACAGAGATAGACCACTGAAAACAGGCACTTCAGAAACAGAAACTCAACACACAGGCTGCTTTTTGTAATTCATGAAACAAACTGTATATTCAAAGTTATAAAATGTAGTTTTTCAGACCAGGAAACAAAGTAAGTCGACCATTAATAACAGCAACTTTATCTGCCGTAAGGCCCAAAGTGGCGCTGGTGGTAAGCAATTATTGCAGTCATTAACAGTCAGACTGGAACGTCTCTTTGTCACCTTATCCCTGGAAGGTCTTAACGCCTAAACGCTTACTCCCTGTTAAATGTTTTACTTTGATGAGGAGTGTAACCTCAGGGGTGTTCGTATCACAGCGTGCATTATTCAAATCAGAATCCTCTCTTTCTGCAGTTTGACTTCCGGTAGGCGATGAATAACATGATACCATCTGTGTGCCAGTATCACGGGCCCGACATTTCTCTAGCCTCTGTGGCATCCCCTGAGCCCCTCCAGCAAACACACATAACCAGTATACACACCAGCATGTACGTTACAGAGCAGCTGAAGCTTTAACAAATTCATAGCTTTCTCTCCTGTTTCTCACATACATACTTTTTCTGAATGCTGATTGAATTTTAATCTGTGATTACATCTTTCTCTCGGGCAGACTAATAATGTGAGACGTTATTGATCATTGTAGGGAAATTCTCTATTTTGCTGCTCTGCTGGTTTTGTCTCACACAAGGACACTTAAGCCGGATGGATTTACAGTGTTTGCTGCCATGGAGGCTTGAACCTCAGTCATCTGGTTGAAGGGCGAGCCATTCACCAAACTACCCATGCTGCTCAGAAAGACAAAAACATACTACTGACATAAACCATGAGTCAGGGGAAAGTGACATCTGTCAGTTAATATGCTGCAGGATTATCTACCCACCCCAGCTCGAATATAGCCAGACTGCTGCACTGATTTGTCTCTCTCTCTCTCTCTCTCTCTGTGAGCGTGTGAGTGTCATACATTTTCGGTTGGCGTGGTGTGAGTTTGAGCACCTCCAGTAAACGAGGTAGACGAGGTCAACCTGTTTGGGGCGCGATCAGCTTTGTCATATTGACTCATAATTAGACAGTATGCAAAACACCGTCAGTGACACGTCCTGAGGGAAATATATTAAGAGAAACACGTGTGCAGGTGGAGACTAATGAAGATTAATCCGCTCGATCTTCACCTCACCAGGGGGAGAAAAAGATCTAACTTTCTCTGTCAGTCTGTGTGAGAAACAGACAGCCCAGTTAGTGCTTTTTTTTTTTAGTGTCAGTATCAGAAAAAGGTGACGTCAGGTTCTTCCACGCACCAATTAGGGTTCAACTTAAGATTTTACACGAGAATGTGATGACAGTTGGTGTTTGTGTTTTTGAACCCAGGGTTCCACGCTAACCAGGGTCTGGTAGAGGGTTGGCTGCCCACTCTTCTGCTGCTCCGAGACTACAACATCCCTGCCTTCTTCTCCATGTATAGGTCAGTCACATAATAAAAACCCGTTTTCACATTTTTTATAACGGAGATAATAAGATTTCTTTCCCTTTGAGCAGCAGTGAATGTCTGAGATTCCTCGTCCTCATTATCTCGCATTGTATTCCCTCTGCTAAGTGATTAATATAGAACCTGCTTAAATACTGCATCCCCTCTGTGGCAGTGTCTTCTTCTTCACTACAGTCCTCAGTCCCGATACAGTTATTACTGCCCGCAAACCCAGATCGCACTTCTCCTTCCACACCTCACACTCGCCTCCCTCTGGCGGCCAATACCTGTTTCCTGTTTATTTCTTCCGCTGCAGGCGCTCTCAGCAAACTCCCCCTTCAGACCGTGTGATACAGCAGAGTTATTGATGTTGTTCTCTTTCCCTTCTGTTGATGCTGCTTCTCTATAATTTCTCTGAAGCTGTTTTTCTTGTAGACGGATATTGAAATAAGTCTGTGAACAGGTGCTTAGTCTCTCGCCAGGCCTCTCATGAGCCCCATCCCATAAAGCTAAACGTACTTAATTAATCGATTTCCTCCGCCATCTCTTTGTCCTCACAGCGAGATGGAGCTCAAGTACTCACTGCAGATCCTGCTGGAGCTGGAGATGCACATCAGGGACAGCGGATCTAATCCATTCACCTCACAGAAACCAGAGCAGGTCCAGGCCTGCCCCAACAAAACCCCAGTCTACTGCAACTCTCATTACATCTGTTTCCAGGGACTGCTGCCACAAGAAGACTTTGAGGAGCCAAGTCCAGACAATTAAGCGGCCACCATAAAGAAAGAAAAATCCCAGCCTGTCTGGTCCCCCTCTTTAAAGATGTGGTTTTCAGTATATGATTTCGGGAACTTCCTGGGGAACTTGAGGGGTTTCCTGCAGCCTCTCAGAGATGGACATTGCTCGACTGTGCAGCTAGTCGGAAGATGTGAGCGATGAAGCTTACATTCTGATTTGGGGAAGAGAGCATTTTTCATAGTAAAAAAACAAGCCTTCACTGCTGCTATAGTGTCCTTTTGAATTCTGATACTATTAATGAATGAGTCAGATTACAGAAATCATTCAAAGCTCATGTGAAGGAACCCGAGGGCACCAGCAGGGGCACAAAGGTTTGCACATCACTGGTGCCCTGAGGTGACATGAATGTTGGATACAAAGGGTCATGGGCGTACAAACATAATGAGACCAAAATGAGTTCAGTCCTCATTTGATGGTTGTCTGTAATTTGCTCTGCAGCTAGAACCTATTTCAAAACCTCACAATGGCTGCATGAAATCAGATCACATGCTCATTAATGTAACACATGATCTAAAGCTATGCTTCAATAAATCCTGTGTGCTGCAGAGTCTGATTTGAACTCAACCATTGTTTTGTTTTGGGTTTTTTTCTTAACTTTTGTGATTCTGTTTCTCATTCGTAGCTGCCGCCGGATGGTGAGTCTTTGTGTCCTGTGGTGTGGTCTGTGGTGGATGCTCTGTTTTTGGACATTAACCTAACCCGCCGTCATTCATGGCTCTGTTCAACAGTCATCTGATCACCATTGGAATTGTCTTCTTCTTGAATAGACAATACAATAGTTCTTTATTTGCTAAATGGAGACTCTCAATAGGCAATTATATCTTTCCCTCGTCTCTTAACAATAAAAAGGCCAAAAAGCCAAGCAGCATTTGTTTGACAGCTATTTTCAGTTTTATTCAGGGTGGATTATATATTATATTATTATATTATAAAACACTGCACGAGCTACAGGATTAAATATTACCATGAGATAAGTAATCACCCGATTTGACACAGTCTTAACAAAACTGAACATTATATGCTTCACTAATTCCAGGCCTATTATATAGGATAGCATTGTATTACAAAGCCTGGACAACCCATAGGATTTAGCCTCTGTAGCAGCTGTGAAATGACCACTTCTACAAAGACTACAAAACTACTCTTAGAGCTACTTTATGCAAACACTTCAAGCAGTAGTTTGCACGCCCTCTTTCTGTGTTAATACAGTCATTGATTCCAGCTTCCAATCGAAAAGAGAAATAGCTTAACTTTCAATAATTTATTAGTAGTCAAGTGATAAAGTTTATTAAAACAGTAATATGTTAAAGTGATGCCAGTTTTACACACCATTGTCTTATCACACTGACCTCTCCACTTCAAAATGCATATGAATATAGATATATATAAATATAAATGAATATAAAAAAATACCCCAACATGGTGGTAAAGGGTATATAAAGTGAAATAATTCTACTTTGTAAACAGTAAAATTGAGCATATTATTGTTGGATTAGTATATGAAAATAATTCATAATGCTCAATCATGGCACAGATGCTAATGTGTGAAACATAACCATGACATCTCTGTCTGCATGTGTTTCTTGTTTTGATTCATAAGAAGAGAGTTCTGGTGAAACAATGTGACACTGACCTCTAGTGGACGAGCGCAGTAAAGACACAGAAAGTACAGGTCGTGTTGGGCTCAGAAACATTAGTGGTCAAAGGCTATTTCCTGATGGGTTGCCATTACAATTGTTTGAACTGAACCCAATTAAAAGCTTTTATGGGTTGGATCATATTCTACAATAACGCCTTTGTTTATGAGTGATTTATTTTCCCCCATAAAAACCTGTATCAATGTAATTTTTTTAACGGTTGGGGTGACTCCAGCTCTTGTAAAGTCAAGAATGGTCTAGAGTTGTCAGAAACTTACTAGAAGGGAAAGCACAGGTGCTATATCTGGCAGCAGCAGCCCCCAACAGGCTGCTCGGATAACAAACCCAAGGAGCAGCAGAGGAAGAAAAAGCGAAGCCTGTCTGAGACTCAGAAATGGCAGAGTCAGAGAGGTAAGTAGGTTTTACTTCCTTTACCCTGCACTTTGATTTTGGAGAACATTTCTAAATTTACATTTACCACCTCATGACACCATGAAAAAAAATCACACGTGTCTGAAGCCACGCGCAGCGGGAACAGAGCCGCCTGGTGCTTGTAAACAGTGACAGCATGACATTTGAATGGCATTTTGAGATACTAGCATACCACCAAGGCCTGTTTCATTACTTTTGCTCCCTGCTGTTCTTTGCTGTTTTATTTTTTCTATATGTAAACTTATTATGAATCTGCCCTTGCAACCCCCTCCACTCCCCTCCTCATACTGCAGCAAATGTCCCAGTCTAAGAATAGCAAAGTGAAGGCCTCAGTAGTCTCTCGGTGAGAACGCAGTTGAAACATATTTTAACAAGTTGGATCTTTGGGGTGTTGACAACTTTTTATGAAATCACTTATCTGTTACAGGTCATTTCTGCTCTATCTATATCTTATTTCTTATGTTTTAATGTCTTTCTACAGAGCTGTCCCAGAGACCAAGACCAACGGTAAACCTATGGCCTTCCGGTCTCAAAAAGAGATGTTTGAGAAAATAGAAGAATCCTTCAAAATCTGTGCACAATGTGAGAAGCGGCCGAGTCAACTTTCAAACCCACAGAGCCTGAAGCGTTGTGCTAGGTAAAAAATTACATCCACTAAACCTCCATGTTATTTTGTCATCAAAGTCAGGAATATTTGAGACAATAGATCTCTCACTTTTTGTCCTCTCTTTGCACAGATGTCTAAATGTTTATTACTGCTGTAAAGACTGTCAGAAGGGCGACTGGCCCAAACACAAGAAGTTCTGCTCACAGCTGCGTCTGGCTGCCATTGACAGAGTTGTGGAGTGGCTTGTGTTCAAAGGTAAAACATCCACACAAACAGTAAAAGACAATGAGAAAGGATTCTTCTTTTTCTTCCTAGAGAGGAATGGAGGAATGTACAAGAAATGATAGTTACTGCCTCATTAACTGTCTGCATTTCTGTTAGACGACTGAGCTAATTTGATTTTCTTTCATCGTCAGAAGAGCTTCCGTTCCCCACAGAAAAATGGTCAAAGCCCCAGTCAGAGGTTAAAGGTTGGGATGACTGGCTTGCGATGCAGGGAGATCTCACAGCTCGCCTCAATCCCATTTTAAATGGTGCAAAGATGAAAGACCTATGGACCAATGCTGGCAGGCCTCGGCCTGACGATGAAGACCTGAAGCTGTCGCTGTGGAGAGTCTGCAGTGAGTTCTTCTGCAGACCGTTGACCATCGCCTGGGGGATGAGGCTATTTGGCCTTAACCCTTATTCCAAACCTCTCACCATTCACCTGGTGGGAGCAGGCCACAGTGAGACACTGGCAGCCAGACTGACGGACTACGATGAGATAAACCACATGTTCCCCGGACACCAGGGAATCGAGATAGTCATGGTGGGGCCAGAGGTGCTGGATGGCCCCATTGTGAGGCCTCCACTCAGAGCGTTTGGCCCCAAGCAGAGGGTCTACATCAGCGCCTACAAGGGGCTCTACCACCAGTTCTGGGAGGAGCTGGTGGAGAAAGAGGAAGCAGCCAAGCCAGACCTGGTGGTGGGATTTCATCCTGGTATGTACATACAACCTCGCGTCATCCTGGAGATGTGATTGTACAAACTCTAAAATCTTGAGCTGGTCTGGTTAAAGGAGTTTTTTCACTTCAAATTGTCGTCTTCCCCTTTAGACAAAGATATAATAAAAGTGTTACGCCATGAAATATAACATTTTGTTTTAGGAGAAAATAAAATTTAATTGACTTTTAGACTGTAATACATATACTGAAAAGGTGCTCAGCAAGATTTATATCCATTCCGAGCTCTTTTTGACTTATTTTCGTTTTTTTATGTCAAGGCTTTGATGCCAGTCAGGGCCTGGACGACGGCTGGCTTCCAACACTACTGCTCCTCAGGGATTATGAGATTCCTTCACTTTTCACTGCTCTCAAGTGAGTGTTACAGACTAGTAGTCACACACGGTTAAAAGTCCTTGTAACAGAATCAGATAGAGACACATAAATATAAAAGAAGTTTCAGATTACATATTACAATACAGTAATACACTACAGTATTTTGTTTAAGTGCATATTTTTGGGGATTTGTGAGTTAAAGTAACTTGAAATATCTCAAATATTCATATCCTATTACTGTGTTTAAATATGTTGTACTGTACTACTGATTTTTAAAAAAAAAAAATCAATAATCTGTTATGGATTGTATTTTTAAACTGCCCTGCCCTCCCACATGTCCTTCATGTGATTTAACAGTGAATAGCGTCCAAATTGGCATAGGCTATTATTAAATGGCACATATTATTTGCATTATTGTAGTGTATGTTACACAAGTGCTTTAAAGTATGCAAATATACTCAATGTCTGATGAATGTGGTTCCGCCGCCGTCAGCCGAGCTCGCTCTCTATCCTCTCACCACCCTCTTATCGTGGAGGGCGCGCAGCTACTGATGCCTCTCGTCCTCTCTCCGCAGTGAGATGGAGATGACCTACTCCCTGCAGATCCTGCTGGAGCTGGAGATGGACATGAAGGGAAGTGGAGCCAACCCCTTCTCCTCGCTGAAACCAGAAGTGGTGGGCTCATGTCCCAACAAGCCTCCCGTCTACTGCAACTCCCACTACTTCTGTTTTCAGGGTCTCCTGGAGACTGTGGAGTTTGAGGAGCCGGACGAGGCCTGAAGGAGCCTCTCACATCTGGAGCTCTGATTTTTTCAGACTATGAAGCATTGTTTTTATAAGACCGCATTTTTCTTTTACTGTAATCATGTTTTAAAAATAGCAATAAAAATATTAATGTTAAAAAATAACACGTAAATACATATTTATTATTGCTAAAACAAATTGTGTACCATTTCCCTTGGTTAACAGTTTTAAGTATTGACTCTGACATTTGCATTCACTATCGCAGTTTCATGTCATGCAACTGTCAGAGTTGTAAGATTTGAATATACTGTTTCTGAACTATTGTGGCATTGTCAGTCCTGTAGTCTGTCCTACAGGGAGTTTACAGAGTATATTTCACTGATCTTCGCTGAACATTCGGGTTGCTGGACTAATGTTCAACGATGCAAAAAATATTTTCGCTATAATTCCATCTATAAGGAACACGATGGCAGAATGTATGACTATTCTGGTCACGGGTTTCAAACACTTTCTGTAATAAAACATGTTAAAGCAAACATTTTATCAGATTGGGGTCTGTGCTGTTGAGAAGCGTTGGTATGGCCGATGCAAGTATTCAACCAACAATCAGTAAACCAGTAAGTGGTGAGGGTGAGCATCAGCAAAACAGCTGGATTGTTTAATCTCAATTTATAACTGTTGAAATCTTACAAATACTCTCTGTCGGCAGACTATCCAAACGTCTACTGATATAACTTCTCAATAAAACATTTCAAATGATTAAATATGGGAGAGACTGTGTTGTCTGTTCTGATTTCTTTCCTTTATTTTAAAGACATCATTTCACCCAAGAAGAAAATGGCACCTTTTCATCATGAGGTTATATTTAGCTGTTCATAACTAGTGAGAATGAAGCAAACAATTTAGTTCATTAACCATCTGACTTCAACACTTGTATTCTGCAAGGATTTTCTGTTATTTTTAAAGATGAAAAACAAACAAACAAATATTTGACTTGATTTTGGGCTAAAATGATAATTAAATTGCTTAATTTCCTGTATTACATAACATACACGGCTGCTGTCAATTAAACATTTTCCTAATTAAAAAAAAATCTACTTTCAGGTGAGGAAATAAAATCATGCATCACAAGCAAATCAGTGTTTCCATCTTAATCTGTAAATGCGAGGCATGTCTACACTTCTAGCGAGATTTGAAGGATAAAACCAGGTCTACAATGTAAAAGACGAGGTTGACAATGGCTCCAATGGAAACAGTGTTAAGGTCAGTGTAGGAACACTTGATGTAAGGATTGTATCCGGATCGTTTGTAACCAAAGACAAGCCAAAGAATGACAGCGAGCAGGTACAACAGCACTGCCACAATGTTGAACACAAGCTCCATCATATTGAGCCCAAATGAGAGGAGACACTGCAGCAGCTTCAGCAGGTTGAGAACAATGATGACCACAGTGACCAGGAGGAAAACAGCAAACACAATGATGCCGCACATCATCCCGAAAGGACGAAAGAACCATTCGCCATTTACAAAGTGGTCAGTGGCAGCGGTGAGAATGATACAAGCCGTGAAAGCCTCTGCCGTGCGGAGAACTCCTCTCGGGCTGGACAGGTAGCCGCTCGGACACTTCATTTTTTGCATCACAGCATCAACCAGGAAGACAACGGCGGCGACCACGGAGAAGATGAAGCAGAGGATGCTGCTGATGCAGGAGAGGCAGATGAAAACGGCTGCAAAGATCAGCGTGGCGGAGGTGATCATCGCCGCACACAGGACGGTCAGCCCGCAGGTCAGGTCAGCCCAGTTGGGGAGGAAGACAGCCAGGAGGATGTGCCACATTTTGGCCTCCACCACAGTCAGGACTAAGGGCACAATGATGCAGAAAACCCAGACAAACTCACACCATACGCCCCATGGACTCACCATCCTGCCTCTGAAGATAACAATGAGGAGAGATAGAGCGCTGAAGATTATTTCCAGGAGGCGTAAAATGCCCGGACAGCTCTTGAACGGGCCACACATGATGCTCAGTTTGGTGCAGTCCTCTGAACTGTCCTTGCTGCTGCTTCATCAGTAACAATGAACACTTGACCCAATGACCACCACATTTCCTTGTATTCAAATTTCTTAGTGCAGGAATCGTTCTTCAGACTATGTAGGTGTGTTTTCTGTGAATGCCTGTTTAGTAGAAGGACTGCTTTTGAACTCTCAAGTCATTTATTTAGTAATTAAAATAATTCAATTTGGAAGATTTATTCCCTTATTTGCTTAAAATCTAGTGAATATGCTGCAACTTTTCTGCTATGTTTTTTTTCCATGTGTATGAAATGTAAAATGTGTTTAGATTTCCTGTAATTGAATTAAATGGAAAATTGAATATGAAACAATTCCTCGTGAGTTTCTCCAAACTGACTATATGTGAACCATAACAGACACATACACACTGCCTTTCTGTCTCTTTTTTAACATACATATTTTTCTATCATTTTAAACCATTTTCAGCTGGTATTGAAAAAATCAGGACAAGAACATGAGAGCGTCTCTTCAGAGCGTCTTTATTCCCACTGCACACTTCACACCGGTGTCTGTGGCTGACAGATCACAGGAAACTCAGGTGTGTTCATTCATGTGTAATCTCATTTTCAGGAACAGACACATTGCAAGTTACAATTTTTTTTACATAATATTCATTGGCAGTGCCATAGGCAGTTCATATTCCAAATATACTCAAGAAACACAGCAACACATCAGGGAGTATAAAAATGGAGAATGGAAAGTTACACACAGAGCTCATGTGTAATTTTAGGTTTGATTACACGTCATATGGGACAAAACAAAACAACAGATTAATATTAAAAGTCTCAGCTTCAACAGAACTGTACTCATTGTTCATGAATACATATGACATGGAAAATATAAATTAATATTCTGTATAAAAGACTGCAGCCGGAACCCTCAATGCTCAAAAATCCTATTTTGCCACTCCAGTCTGATTGTGAGTCTGTTTGACAATAGCACCATTTTCTGCTTTGAAATCATATTATACATTGTGTAATGTGATCGTGTGTTAACTCTGCTCTTGTGTGTTGGACCAAGTTACACGTGAGGCATGACAAAATGTAGATTACCCTTTAGCTCTGGTGTTCTGAGTGGATGTTCAAAGCCTCAGTCTGTGATGTTGCGGTGTACAGCTGCAGCGCTGTTTCTGCTCCGTTGGAGACTGTGTGCAACCAATTACATTTCCCCAGATGTGGAAAATGTGATCATGTGACTTCAGTGCAGAAATGGCAGTGTTCACCAACCTGAGACCAGACTTTAAAAGCATTATTCAAACATTTTAAACATTCTGACAACACAAACATTATTCAAGCATTTTACTTTAATGCTATGGGAAGATATGTTGAGCATTTACCTTACAGTTTTTAATTTAAATAAATAAATGAATTATTATTATTACTTTTTTATTACCTGAATTACAAACAGTTATTTAGAGGTGTAGTTCAAGTTTGAATGTTTTAAAAAGATGATTGGAAAGTCTCTGCCATGTTTATGTTTTGCTAAAGCCACAGATACCAAGCAAGGTGAAAATAAGGTCCAGTGTGAAAAGAATGAGATTCACATATGTCAGGAATGCAACCATGAACTGAATGGCCCAGATACAGAAGCTGGGTGGACAGTCACTGGGACGAGGGTTGTTCCTGAACATAAAAATGGGCCACATGATAGCAGTGAAGATATACAGCACAACAGAGATGACCAGGAATATGAACACAAATCTGTCCAAGTTAAAAGGCAAACATTTCTTCAGTTTCTTGAGGATGTTGGTGGCTATGATAAGAGGGAGGATGGGGAAAGGAATGATATAAGCTATGACGCAGATGATCAGAGCCGGCTTGTCTCTGTAACCAGTCAGTGATATAAAAATCATGCAGCTTACGAAGGCCTCCAGTACCTTGAAGAATCCAGGCAGAGCAGCAAGGTACTTCCCCTCCTTCTTGTCCAGGATTTTGTCCTTCACCACTTCAAATGTGTAGACCATACCACACAAGAAAGCAAATATACTCACTATCCAGCCATACAGACATGCAAATTTGAAGCAGGCATAGAAGTTGGCATATATGATAGCAACAGAAACGGTCATGAGTGTTGAAGACATGGCCATCCCAGTGGTGAAGTCAGACCAGTCCATGCAAAACAAATTGAGTACGATGTCAAGCTTAAACATCTCAATGATGGTGATGATGAGGGTCATAATGGGGCAGAAGGCCCAGGTGAACATGGCGTAGTTCCAGTAGGTATGGCTGCTCCCTCCTCTGAAGGCAGCCAGGACAAAGGTGACCAGAGACAGAATGATCTGAGCCATATGTAGCCCGCCTCGTCCGGATAAAAGAGAAGAAGGAGTAAACACTGCTTTGGATAAGGTGTCCTTAATACTTTCAATTATTCCCATCTCTCTGAAGGAGCTGAAGAGTGATTGAAATATGCCTGTAATGTAGGTATACGTCCTCCCAGGTAGCTGCAAGAAAGTGGATGAAATGTGTTTGCTAAGCTGCCTTCCAACTCCACTTTGCTTATATTCTTTTATTGCCTTTCTGTTTTGCATAATAGTCATGAAATGGGCTGTGTGTAGGGACGAATGTCTGCTACAGCCGATATGAAATAACTGAAGTTGTGCTTGATGCTTGACTAGGTAAAGCCATTATTTGGATAGGGACACTATTACAGAAAGGTAATGGGGGTGGGTGGGTGGGTGGGGGGGAGCAGAGTGCATACATTCATGCTGCTGACCTACAGGCTATATATTCAATAATGTAACATAACCATAGTAATCTAAAATATTTGAGGTGCAGATGTCTAGGGACTTACAAAGCCTGGAATGAAGGACTGCCTGAGAGACAAGCTCAGGGCAAACAAGCCCTTTAGACAGTTAAAGGGCGAGAAAAAAAAAAACACGTTTCTACACGGATATACTTATTTGTGCCACTGCTTCAACCCAACCACTGTATGTGCACCTCGCTCATTTATATCTATATTTTAAACAAACAAACTGTGCCATTTTGTTGACGAAATATTCTTAATACTGCGGATACATTTTTTTTATTCAGTAGGTCAGTCTGTTGGAGCTGGCGCTTGTTTCTGGGGAAGATAAACAGAAAGCACAAGGAGGAAGTTGTTGTCAAGTGTCAGTGGCAGTAACAGCATCAAGCCAAACACAGAGAAATATGTCCGTACTTTTCTCCTTTTGAAACTGTAGACATTTAAAAACAACTCTGGAGGAAGCCGTCGCCTTGTTGGAACTATATTTAGTTGTAATGATAATTTCATTTTCTTGGGCTATTTATTTTATATTCGTGTCGAAGCCATTGTTTGGGAAGAATTAGCTAGCTTGACGTTAGCAATGGGTCGATGACACAGACTGCAGCCGCAGAGTTTGACTGAACACCGCCCAGCTGTTTGCACCGGGGAAGGAGGGAGGAGGCCAGATGGATTTCTCTAAGTTCCTGGACGATGACTTTGATGTGAAAGACTGGGTGAACGGCGCCTTCAAGGTGGTGCAGAAGGACGCGCCGGGGAAAGCAGACACACACGCAGCCACACTGGTCATGAAACTGCAGCTGTTCATCCAGGAGGTCAACAATGCTATTGAGGGTCAGTTAGTTTAAGAAAACTAAAGTGTATCTTTCCATTATAGCACCACAAACGTCTTCTTTCGCCTGCTGCCTCTCTTAACAATATTTGCTCTTGTCAAGTGTTTTACCTTTTCTGAATATATATATGTGGGATAGACTAAATACTAGAAATACTTCTCAATATATAAAAATTAGGACTCAACAGCACCACAAACCACTACTATTGCTGCTCGCAGTCTACACAGTAGGGCATTACACTATATCTACATAGTTATTTATCGTTGCTGACTTCACTATTTAAAATGATGCAAAAGCGAGTTATGTTTTTGTGGAAAGTTTGAAAATGTGTGGTCTTGAGAGAGTTTTTAAATTTGCAACAATTCAAAGAAGGTGATATGAATCATCAGAAAACTGGTAACCCTAACTGGACAAGATCATTGTAGACAGTGGACAAAGGACAGTGATGTTTATGTGAATCCTTTACATACACTAAATTGCCAATTTATTAAGTACATTTAGCTACATCCGTTGATGCTGTCAGAAAGAGGTGTTGATTCAACTTTGTGATAATTTTAGAGGATGTTGTTTGAGGTGCTGTTGAATTGTATTGCATTATACAAAGAGGTGTTTATGTGTCATTCATATAAAGGGGGGTAGAATCAGCTGAATCAACACCATCTGAGTTTCAATAAAAACGTTATAACATTCATGAAGGGAGGATTTGTTGCAGGATTGCTGTATTAGACTGCATTACCTTTAGCTAGGCTTACCTAATAAACTGGCAACTAAGTGTATAATGACTAAGTTAAAATAAAATGCAAAAATGACCATTACCAGTGACTCTCAAATTAATCGCAATATGAATATTTTGCATATTGTTCAGCCCTATAAAAAAATATATTTTACTGCTTAAGGTCAAGACAATTCTCATGTCTTGGAAAAAAAGCATCAGCACACCAGAGAAATCACATCATTCATTGCTAAAACTAATGCCAAAGAGAACTGCATGTAATGACTGTTTTCAGTTTGTTTTTCTAGAGAGTGGCACCAACTATGATATAATGTGGTTACAGTTATAATTTTCTTGTTATGTGCTTCAGTAACTGAAAGACTGCTGTGTTCCTGTTTTGTAGAGAGCAGTCATCAGGCCCTCCAAAATATGCCCAGAGTGCTGCGAGATGTGGAGGCTGTGAAACAGGAGGCTTCCTTCCTCAAAGAGCAAATGGTCCTGGTCAAAGAGGACATCAAGAAGTTTGAGCAGGACACTGTGCAGTCAATGCAGGTGTGCGAACATTT